AGTTCCTGATCTAGAATCTTGCCAGGGTTTTAGGATCAAGCTCACCAGCTAGTACTTAACAGAACCACCTTTCTTCACCTTTGGAAAATTGAAACTGCCCTTACCTGCCTCCAGTCATTTGGAAAATCTGTTATCTTTGAAGAGCTCTCAAAGATCATGGACCGCTGTAAGTTCTTTCTGAATCTATCTTGGAATGTAATTCATCCAGGCTCAAATACCTGAACACATTTAGAGAAGCTTCACCATGTGGAGTTTCATTCTTCCCTACCAATGATCACGCTACCCTTTTCACAGGAAGATTTTTCTTGACAGAAAGGACAGAAGCAAAATAGGATTTTCAGAGTTCTGCCTTCTCTGTCATCCATCAGCAGCATACCTTCAGTTCCTAACAGCAAATCAATCCCCTTTTCATCCCTTTCTTGCTCTAAACATAACTTTGAGTATCCCAAGTCTTCCTTAGCAATTCTTGGAAGTCTCTACTCAGGGAGATTTTATCTTTTAGTTGCTATTCTTAGAAATCTAAACCTCTTCTTACATTTGCATTAATTTGACTTCACCTTTCCTCTCTCTTTTTGAAACTGATCCTGAATTGGCAAAAAATTTAGCTGTTGGAGTTGAATAATACATACATAGGGGTTATTAGGCAGGTCTTACTATTTTTGAAATTTTCCAAAATAAGAAGTCAAATAAATATATCTAAATATATAAATACAAATGTTTATGTAAACATTTGAGGGAAGGGTGAGAGGGAGAGAAAGAAAAAAAAGGGAGGGAGGAAGGTATTCCCCATTTCTTTTTTTACTGGAATAGGTTTTTATCCCTAAACTTCCTTTTATTGGTTGGGATAATTTGGTTTTAATTAAAGTCTCAATGGCACTTCCTCTGCATCTCCCAATCCTTTTCATTTATCTTCCAGGCAAGATTCCCATGCCATTCTTCTTTGACTGCTTGAAATCCATCTAGCAAAAGTCTAGGATATACTCTAATTATGTTTGTTTCTCTCTTCCTATCAGGAACACAAATCTTAAAAGGTTGTCCATTTTCATTTAGGACTACATTAGTTTCACCATTATTCTTTAGGAAAGTGGTTCTCAGAGTGTGGTTCTTGTACCAGCAACAGCAACATCATCCATGAACTTTTTAGGAACCAGAGTCATGCGTCCCACTGACCTGTTGTATCAGAATACCTGGAGTTGGGGCCTAGAAAACTCTCCAAATGAGTCCTATCACATTAAAGTTTGAGAACCACTACTTTAGGAGAAGTAACTGTTCCCATTCAAAAGCTGTCAGACGCTGTGCTTTTAGCAAACGTGATTTCCATCAAGTGCCTAAATACTGGGAGTTCCTCATGCTACTGTATACATTAACCTGTGTGCCTATTTTATGTATGCAACTCATCACCTCTTCCTTAAGCCAATGGGCATACAGCACACTTCCACTTCTGTATCTATCCCATTTATCTCTTGCTTTAAATTCTCCTCTAAAGAGTGTTTAGCATCCTTCCACTCAAAAGATCTCAATGAAGATATAATTTCTTGGCATAGCACACTATTATATCTCTCCCTTTAAGATATCTGAATTGTTACATTCAAGTGGTAAGCCAAAATCCAGAAAGTCACCAAAACAGTCATGAGATATTTATTCTTCTCCCTTATCATCTCAACTTTATATTGTCATTCATATTTTGTATAAAGGTATTATACAAATACCTTTTGCAGAAGGTACCGAAGCTCCTAAGTATAACATCAAGCTAGTTTCCATATCTGTCTTTTGTGAATCGCTGGATACTGCCTCCATTTATTTCTGATTACCATGTCTTACTGTATGTCTAACATAGTTTCATCAATTAATCTGCTTGTTTTTCTCCTTTTCAGTAGCATTTAGCCTAAAACTGTCCTAACCAGACCAGCTGGTTCCTAGGAACACACCCACAGGAGAAGTACTCCATCCCTCCTTTCATTCTCCTAAACTCAATGAAAGATGATGATAATGATACTAACTGCAAGCTTTCTTCCTAGGCTCTTAAATTAGTGCTTCTATGATGATAAGTAAAAACTATAGCTGTAGCCAGAAAGGCATTGGGAGGGCCAGGAATATAGAAATTAACACAAATTTGATAGCTTGATTTTTTAAAAAATCCTTTACTTGAGGTCATCCCTTCCCTTGGTTCTTTTGTAAGCAGGAATATAAACAAATATTACCTTGTTGATAAAATATTTGCTTTCAAATCAATATATTTGTAATCATAATTTTCTTCTTTAGAAGTGGGAAAAATTTACTTAACTGTATATTCCACTCTGAATTATGAAATAACTAACACCAATCAATTCCATGTATAGTAATGTTTATTCTACACACAGACAAGTAAGTTCAAAGTTTTAAAGATCTAAATTGAAAAACCACATTGTAGAAGAAATATGTCACTGAAGAAGTTACAGAATTTATATTCAAAATGCAAGGATAGTCTAAAGATGTGTACTTTTTAAAAATTGGAATGTGTAACAAATAAGTTGGTATGAAAAAGCAATTTATATACAGTCTGGCCCAGAACATACCTCAACACCAAAGAAGTAATAAAAGACAGCAATAAAGGAAACTAACAATGCATAATGATAAAAGAAAATCACAAAGTGAAACATAAAACAATTTGCTAAAGAACTCTCTTGGTTGTGAAAATAGTAAGATGCATATAAAATTGCATACTTTTGAATAATGATTATTCTTAAGAAATGAATGAGGAAAAATAGACTACTCATTAACAAAAAAGAAAACAATGAGTCACAACACACTAATCTGTGGAAAGTAATAATTCCCCAATAATAAGAATAGTCACATATTTCTGCTAAATAATTTAGTGGTTAAAATCTCTTACAAAGAGTAAATAGAGTGTAAGCAGAATAATTCTGTTTTTTTAAATGGCATCTTCTATTTCTGACATGGACTATAAATACTTCATAAGTAGTCAATAAATATTAAATCAAAATTGTTAAAAATCACCTGGCTGGGAGTAGCTCAATGGTTGAGTATCAACCTATGAACCAGGAGGACATGATTCGATTCCAGTCAGGGCACATGCCCAAGTTGCGGGATCCAACTCCAGTAGGGGCATGCAGGAGGCAGCCAATAATGATTCTCTCTCATCACTGATGTTTCTATTTCTCTTTCCCTCTCCTTTCCTTTCTGAATTTCAATGAAAAATTTTTTAAAGAAAATATATTTACAGTATTTATTGAAAAAACCTGTGCAGACCTGGCCAGAGTGGCTCAATGGTTAGAGCGTCAGCCTGCATACCAAAGGGTCTTGAATTCGATTCCCGGTGAAGGGCACATACCCGGGTTGCGGGTTCACCCCTCCATCTTTCCTCCTTCCCTCTCTCTCTAAAAAACAAACAAACAACAAAACCTTTGTATAAGTGGGCCCACGCAGTCCAAACCTTTGTTGTTCAAGGGTCAACTGTATTTCTTATTCCTATTTTTGTTACTCAAATACTTCAACTTCTTGTGAGTCATATAGCTTTTGAAGTCTGTTTCTCTCTACCAAAACTGAACCTTGGAGATAACCTATCTGTGAGAAATGCTTTGATGATTGACTAGAAAATGACTTTAAGTGTTTATAAACCTCAGTATATCATCATCCCCTTTATCCTTCCATTTGCTCAGTTATCTTGTCATCAACAGAGGTACTACTTAAAAGCATCTACTCTTTCACGTCTCAGTTCCTACCTATCATTGAACAAGTTTTAAATCAATGTTCAGCCTTTTAGAGGCTAATAAACATTCTCACCCAAAGAAAGTGACAGTATAAGATGTAATCTTCTGGTGATGCTTTGGGATTCTTAACAAAAAGACACCTTATACATAAAATAAATGGGTATGTTTAGAACTCATTGTTGTAATTTGAGATTACAGAGGCCATTCTCCCTATACTTCATATAACAGTATTAAGAAAAATAGTTTTATGTTTTCATGTCAGTTTTGACACACAAGAATATTACAGTAATTACTACTATTATTATGTGAGTTTTTCGCTAACAAAGGAAAAATGTTAAATGAAATATGGTTATTTCCCTTTTTACCACTGACTAAAAGAGGTGCTACCATTTTATATCAGAAAATAAGAAAGTTCATCAGAATTGAAATAACCCTATCCTAGGACTATTATAAAATGCACACTTCACACACACACACACACACACACACACACACACACACTCACTCAAATCTCTGGATTCCTGGTCAATTATCTTTCTCTGACCACGGAGCTAAAACTCAATGAATGTCTTCTACTGAATAAGGGCTTTTTATTTTTTAAAAATATATTTTTATTGATTTCAGAGAGGAAGGGAGAGGGAGAGAGAGACAGAAACATCAATGATGAGAGAGAATCATTGATCGACTGCCTCCTGCATGCCTAGTGCCTCTTGCATGCCCCCTACTGGGAATCGAGCATGTGCCCTTGACCAGAATTGAACCCAGACCCTTCAGTCCGCAGGCTGATGCTCTATCCACCGAGCCAAACCAGCAAGGGCTGAATGAGGACCTTTTAAAAAGATAGCAGTCCTGCCTGCCCAGTGTCACTAAGTTGGTTGAGGATGGTCCTATGCACCAGGTCCCAGGTTCGATTCCTAGACAGGGCACATGCCCAGTTTGCTTGATCCCTAGTAGGGGGTGTGCAGGAGGCAGTCAATGGAATGTTTCTACCTCTCCCCCTTCTTTTCTCTCTCTGAAATCAATAAAAACATATTTTTAAAATTAAATAAAAATAAAAACAAAAAAATGGCAGTTCTATGACAAATACACGAATCTGAACCAATAATTCCTTTTTTCATCCATTCACTCAATATTATTAAACAGCTATAATAATGTAATGCTTTCAATCATTCAATAAGTACACAAAATGTAAAAAATGTAATATGGTAAGGAATATTTCTACATTCATATTTTTTGAGAAACTCCTAGCATGCATTTCACATGCAGTTTCGTGTGTATAAATGACCTTACCTCTCTTACAGATAGCTGTGGTGGGAAGGAGACTGAAAACACTAAGTTAGTGAATTCAAATCCAGAGGCCTCTACCTTTTGGCACACCTGAAAAAGTATTACATAAAAATTACTTTATTACATAAAAGAGCATTATATAAATTCCCAGGAAGTGTTAAAAATTATATACTAATCTTCATAACATAGATTTTTGGTCCAGGAAATGACACTGCAAAACTTCTAAACTTTCACCTTTGAGTAGGGAATTCTCACAAACATCATGAAATCAAATATTTGCTAACTATGACCCTGAAGACTGACAACACCGAAACAGCAAGGACTCACCTGCAGAACAATCTGCTGAATGTCAAAATAGTTTTCTATTAGGTTACCTCATCATTTAAAAAAGATTTTAAACAAAGTAAAGCCAAATATGGCACTCCTGACAGCTGAGAACAAAAGCCAGTCCTACATTCAAACATGCACCTCCCACAAGGCTGTAACACTTGTCTTTTCTAGACACTAATAGGTATGACTAACAAAGAACTTTTCTCTAGCTTCTTATGTTAAAATAGCAAAGGGAAAACTGCTATTTATTTTTTTCAATTGAATAGCACTCATGACTGACATACATAAAGGGATATATATTTCATTTTCAGATATCATGTTGATAAAAAGGTAATTTGAGATAAAAAGGTGTTCATTATCTGAAATAAATTCAGGAAATGTTTTAATAATACATTGGTGTGAAACACGTTGAAATGAATGGCATTGTTCCTGTAGATACAAGAATTCCAGGTCTGCTCTGGCCAGGTGGCTCAGTTGATTCGAGTGTCATCCCGTACACCAAAAGGTTGAGAGTTCGATTCCCAGTCAGGGTACATATGCGAGACAATTAATCAATAAATCTCTCACATTGATGCCTCTCTCTCTCTTTCTCTTTCCCTTCCTATCTCTCTAAAATCAATAAAAAAAAGAATTCTAGGTTAAAACTAAAAATCTCTATATAAGTGCACATATAATAACAGAAGACAGATTATTTACCTTTTTAATGAACTCTTTTTCACAGAATTCCTGAAGAATTCCTAGGCATACATTGCATACATTTGGACTGGAGCTCTTAAAAGCAATGCTTCCGCCTTCAATAATGGACACCCTTCCCTCTCCATTTTGACTCTGATTATCAGTCCCATCAATCCCATCTTCCAGTTCATGGAGTCGAATTTTCTTGGGAGGTGGGTTTGGAACTTCCAAAATTAATTCACCTTTTTCAGTTTTCAGAAATTTCTGTAGTTCATTGAACAACTCCTAGAAAGTTAATTTTTAACAAAACACAATAAAAGTAATAACTCTAAGGGTAAGATGAAGCATGAAAACAGGAGTGAATATTATGGTATATCACAAACTTGCCCAATGTTGATTTATATTCAATCTAGAGCAATGAATTAATTTTATTAGCCAGCACCGGCTTTCTGGGGAATTTAAAAGAGGCTTAACTAACTCCTATGATAAATGTGTGAATATTGTTTCAAAGGAGTTTCATATATCAGAGAAGCTAAATCTGAGGCAAAAAGGCTCCATTAAGATATTAACTAATTAATTAGTGCACTGGGCATGTAGTTCTGTTGTGGGGTCATTCACTCATTCACTTGCTAAGTAAAAAAAGAAACAAGAAACTACTTTTCATTTCCAATTTTTAACTAATAGAAATACAAATGGACTTTCCATTATTGCTTTCCATTATTGGTTATGTAATAACCTCACAATCACTAAAACGTCATATGTATAATATTTAATATGAAGTCTGAAAAATTAGAGAGAAATTAGGGGTCTATTAAGTAAAAGTAAGGTCAAGACAATTTACTAAATAAAGGTAAACAGATGCTGGAAATGCTGAGATTTGGCACCATAATTACAAACCATTTATATGTGCTAATTGAAAGCGGCCCTCTACTACATTCTGGTTTGCCTACTTTTTGTTACCTTTTGTATTAGAATGTTAAAAGTGGCATTCCTTTGAAACCATTCTTATATTTCAGACATTCTACTCATCCAAATACTCAGAAGACTTTTCCTCAATTTTGTTTAAATTAAACAGGCTTTTTTTTTCAGTTGTTGAATAAATATCCTTTTAAATTCACTCAGATTACAATTTACTGACTGTAAAGGGAAAAGTCTTTCACTCAAACAAATTTAATTCATTTTATTAAGACATTAGCTCTCCTATTTTATCAACAGAGAAATACTCATAGATACATACACATACAGGTATATTATGACCCACACAAATGTTTATTATTACCTAAGATCTACAACGTTGGTATAACACAGTACATATATATATGTATATGTACATATATAATTATATGAATAGAACAGGTCAAAATTTAAGTACATTTTTTAAAAAGTCTTCAAATATTTACATATTTACACAAATTGATACAAACAAAAGTTAGTAACACTAAGTTTCTTAATATGTTTTAAATCTTAACAACATATGCATAGCATACTAGATTATAATGTCTTTTAAAATGTGTAAGAGAAGTTACACAAAACCAGTTTTGTTACTTTATAGTCATTGTGTGTATAAATAAATATACACATATATTAATCATCATAGCATATGTACCATTTCCAGTTTTCAAAGTGCTTTCACATACTTTATTAGATATTGTCCCTTAAAATCCTGTGAGGTGGATGTTATCATCATTCCCAATTACAGAGGAGAAAACTGAAGATGGAAAGTTGTGGAACTGGGATTCAAATCCATGTCTTTCAGCTCCAAATTCTAGGCTTTGGGTTCAGACAGACAGTTCATATCCTAGCTTGCTCACTTAATAGCTGTGTAACTTTGGGCAGGTTGCTTAACCTCTCTTTGCCTCAGTTCTTCATCTGAAAATAGAGACAATCATAGTATGTACTTACCTAATAGGTTACTATGAGAGTTACATGAAGGTTGAAATATAATAATGCTATATGAATATTAGATATAATTATTATTTTAAAATAATAGAAACAATTAATTCATAGGAAAAATGACTGCTATTGCTAACTCCTGGGAAATTTTTTAAAATTATAAGAAACTGAGTGTTCATGTATATGAATCTGTGTGTGTGTGTGTTTGTTTGTTTATACTGTTTGTATAGTTATATATTTACATATATATAATTACTATCTGCCTCTGAAAAGAATATCACTATTAGAATCAAATATATTTCACAAAATGTTATATAATTTGAAAGGATTCTATTAAATGTCAAAGATCTCTGTATATTACTTTTGTTGTTATTAATAGTAAATAATTAATGATTTTAATGGAATTTCTTTCTAGAGGGTTGCAAATACTATTTGTAAATAAAATGATAAAATAGGAAACAGAAAAAAAATGCAACCGAACCCACAATGCTTTCACTTAATAGAGTTAGTGATGGCGAACCTTTTGAGCTCGGCATGTCAGCATTTTGAACAACCCTAACTTAACTCTGGTGCCGTGTCACATATAGAAATTTTTTTATATTTGCAACCATAGTAAAACAAAGACTTATATTTTTGATATTTATTTTATATATTTAAATGCCATTTAACAAAGAAAAATCAACCCAAAAAAAATGAGTTCGCATGTCACCTCAGACACTCATGTCATAGGTTCGCCATCACTGAGTTAAGGACTACCACCCCCTCCTGTTACAACTTCCTAATATCTGGTAAGAAGCACTACTTTGTGATAGTCTGTCCAGATACTCTTTAGGAACGGTCTATACAAACATTAAATGCACCAGGGAATTGCTCCACAAAGATCCCACTATATTAAATGTTAGATTAATCACTTAAAAAGAACCTTACATTTTTATGATAATGTAAATTCTAAAATTAGCGTTACCAGTAATTATTTTATTATAGTGTTTTTAAATTTAACGTAGAGTTATGGATAGATACTTGCCCTCAAATATACACGTATTATTTTAAAACTAGAGAAAACTTCTTAACTTAAAAAAAAAAGAAAATACCTCGTAAGAAAGTTTGTAAGGTGCATGAAAATCCACACCACAGAACCTGAAGATACATCTTGGACATGTACCAGTACTGAACAACAACTGGGCCACATGCTTGTTTCCCTCAGTCAGCGGAAACATACTGAGTATCTATAACTACAAAGAAACAAAAAGTAAAACTAATGAGCATCTTTTGTGTTTTACTTTCACAGACAAATAAATCATCATCTTTAAAGATAAAAACTAACTTTTATTTGAAAAACACTATTTTGTATTCCCCAATAATGACCTTTTCATTATATGCATAATGAAACATACACTTGAAAGAAATTTAATAGATGAATCAGATAAGTTTCTAATTGCCAAGGGATTAGTTTAGTATTCTGGATTATGATAAAATATATCAATATACCTCGATCAATCAAAAAAATAAGAAGAATGGTTGTCTCTGAAAAAGGTGATGAAAACAAGAGCAGAAAGTAAAAATCTGATTTTATTTTGTACCAGTCAGTGTTGTTTGAGAATACAGAATAATAAATTCAATAAACTTTTCGTATTAGAAATTAAAAATGAGTTTGCTAGAAAAAACTTACCAGATAGGTTTACATTATATAATACCTGACTAACCTTAATGAAAGTTAAGCAGTCAAACATTTAAAACAAATTAATGGGTGGATCCAAAAACATCAATTTTACTTTGATGATATAACTAAATGACAACTATTATCAAAATAAGAAAAATTTGTTTATTTCATGCACAAGTAAAACCTCCAACAAAAACAAATGAAATGCAAATATTTTAGAGTAATTACTGTCTGGAACAATTTGCTACCTTTTGCAATTTGAATAAATTCACTTAGAAACAAATACTAGAGAACAGAGGAAATCCAATATAATTCTCATGTTGCCAGGAAGGAGGGGTGGTAAATTACCTAATCATTCTGTTTGGCAAAAATGGTCTTCTGATGAATGAGTCAGTCCACATTACTTTAAAATGAGGAACTAGCAAAGGGATTACATGGCAATGTTGTGGTATGGTGTAACTTTGGTCACACAGGTAAAAGGCAGTGGCACCTTTTAATTTGTGGTTTCATAAAGCAAATGAACTTGTTAAAAATATGTGAGAAGGTGAAGCTCTTACCAACTGCTTACTATAAAGATGTGCTTCTTAGAATACGTTTGTGTTTTTCAACCCTTTAAATGCACTACTTCCTTCCAAGCTTCTAAATGTCTGTGGCCACTTACCAAGAGTGGAGCCTTGACACAAAATAATGACTGCACTCCCCTCACTGAGAAACTGTTTCTGTCTCACCCTTTATGTCATCTTTTCTCCTCCTTTCCATTAGTTAAGGTCAAGGATATCATTTAATTCATAATTAACCTTTAACTCAGAGAAACAAATAACTCTTCTTCCCCAATAAAGTCTAGGAGTAAGTGCTTAAAAAGGACACTTTGTATCAAAGATCGCCCTGGGGACTTAAGTTAAATAATTTCAATAAAATGTTTATGTTCTTTCCTTTGACTTAAAAACAATGTTTATTTCTCCAATAGGTTCCTAGAAATAAAGATATCATGCAACGTGAATTAATGATACAATATCATCTCTTTGCTCTGAGAAATTCCCAAACCTACTGGGAATTAGGAGACCTGTACTGAGTAATTTGAAGGGGTCTTAAACAAAACCAAACAAAACCCTCTTGAGTGTGTCATTAATTGAATGGATTTACAATCCTCCCAAATCATTTTCACCTAGCAACAATCTACACAGTGGTTCTCAACCTTCCTAATGCCGCGACCCTCTAATACAGTTCCTCATGTTGTGGTGACCCCCAACCATAAAATTATTTTCGTTGCTACTTCATAACTGTAATTTTGCTACTGTTATGAATCGTAATGTAAATAGCTGATATGCAGGATGTATTTTCATTGTTACAAATTGAACATAATTAAAGCATAGTGATTAATCACAAAAACAATATGTAACTATATATGTGTTTTCCGATGGTCTTAGGCGACCCCTGTGAAAGGGTCGTTGGACCCCCAAAACGGTCGCGACCCACAAGTTGAGAACCGCAGATCTAACGCCTTCTTGAGCACGTGAACATTAAAAGGAGGAAATACGTTCTGCCTTAAATTTGGCTGTTGTATCTTAATGTACAGCGTCGAAATGACAGGACTTCATAAGACATGAGAAATCGGTTGTCCCAAAAGAGGTTTATCTTTGAGCAAGATAAAGCAAGCCGTGAGAAATGTATCCCACCCAGCAAGGTTTTCATTGTTGCTACCTTGGTGAAGATGTTTGCTTTCGTTTACGTTTACGTGTTTACTTTACAGAAAGAACCGGAACAAGTCATTGCAACAGAGCCTCCTCCCACGTGTCAGGATCCCCAAGGGGAACGAGTCCCTTCTCCACAAACCAAGGATCACCAACCCAGTCTATGGTAACCCGATCAACTGGGGGAGAGGAGGAACTTTCTTTCCACGTCTCCGAATATTACAGAAACCATTCACTGCAAATAGGGAAGGGGCAGGGCACGTGAAAAAGCACCGACATGACCAGGCTGTCTCACATCCTGTGATCTTTCTAAAAACTCATTGCATACTGAAGGGTGTCATTTGTCTCGTGGGGGTAGGGGTGGGGTTGTGGATTTCTAAATAGGGAGGCGCTACCGATGCACTCAGCTGTGCAACCTCCCCTACATCCAAGATCTATCTAACCTTGAGGGTCTTTTTTGGCCAAACAAGACCTTCACCACCACCCCACCACCCCCCACCCTACCCCCGCTTCGGTCAAGTCCAAGAAACTTCCCACTCACCCCTCCTCGCTAACAAAGCGGCTCCAGCAGGGAGGAGACGATCCCCTCCATCCGCACCTCTCCGGCACCCAGATGGCACGCCCTCACCTCGGACCTCCCAGCCTCACCTTCTCCCACGGAGCCGGAGCCTGAGATTTAACCCCTGCCGGCCCTCAGAGGGAGCGGGGAAGACTAAAGACAGCGCACCCATGCGTCTAGCAATTCTGTTCCCCGAGGAAACGAGAGCTTTAGGACGAAAGTACCAGCCCCCTCTCGGGAGGACTGACTGCGCTATATCCCCTGCTTGTTTGCAGAAAAATCAGTGAAACTGTCTGGACTGCCGCCACACACACACCCCGCCTCTCCCGCGGGTAGAGGAGTGCGGGGGACAGAAGTCCACGCCTGAGCGGGTCTAGTCTCAGAGAAGCTGCCGGGGGACTCCGGACCTCTAAGACATTGTAGCCGCTGCCAGAAATGTCGATGAGCCCTTGACTTTATCAGGAGGTTTAGAAAGGAAATTCTTTCTTTGGCAAATAAAAAGAGAGCCTCTTTCTCTCTCATGGGTTAGTGGCATCCTCCTATTTTCCTGTTCCAGCTGGCAAAGCCCCACACGCCACGTGCTGGCCGCACGGGTGGACGGGGTGGATGGCTCGGCGCTCTGCCCGTCATGCCTGGTGCGCGAGCTGTGGGTGCGCCGGGGCCGGGAGTCCCAGCGCTCAGCCGCCTCGGAGCGCAGCGCAGCGCAGCGCAGGCGGAGGAGATGGCGTCCCAGCCGCCGCCTCCCCCGAAGCCCTGGGAGACCCGCCGGATTCCGGGGGCCGGGCCGGGTCCTGGCCCCGGCCCCGCTTTCCAGTGAGTGTGGGATACTTCAGGCCGCGAGTGTGGTGGACCGGAGCGGGGCCTTGTCCGGAGGCGGTTGGGGCCGTTGTGCGGGCGAGGTTCCCCTCCCCCTCACCCCCTGCCCCAAGCCTTGAAGGGGGGTCGGGGCGGGGGTCCTGGGACAGCTTTGTTGTCTGACCGCAGTTTCTGACCCGTGGACTGTTGGCGGGACGGCCTCCAGGGAGCTGCTCTTCTGGGTCCTGGGGCTTGGAGTAAAGGGGGAGGCTTCCTGCCCGTTTCTGTTTGCGGGACACCGTGGCGCCCGCTGGGCCCCTGGTCAACGGTGGACTTGGTCGTAGCGGGTGAGGGTGACGGCCGCCCAGCCCGGCCGGAAGGGGAGCAGAGCCTCTCCAGCTCTGAACGGCCTCCCGGGTCGTTGGAGGAAGCCCAAAAGGTCCCTTTGACGCAACCGGGACCTCAGCTTGTTACACACTTGGCATTGTTTCCGGAATCGCTGTGCAGTGGATCGTGCAGAGATTTGGAGGAGCGACTTGACAGCGGGAGTTCTAAGGCCTATGGATGGTCTTTATGCGCAAAATAGTGTGTGGTTTTTCTAAGGCCTGTGGTTTTTGTTGTTGTTGTTTTAATTTAATGTTTTAATCCATTTGTTGAATGGATTTACAACCCAGAAAAGGTTAAAATAGTATGAGAGAGAGAGTTACACAGCCTTCTATGTTTGTGGATTTGGACGTCCTAGTCCCGATGATGAAACTGGAATGTCACATAACCTAATACATAAAAATCCCCGACGTACCGGAAAGTATTTCCCCTGTGCTCTAAACTCTTGTAATAATTTATTTAAACGATATGGTGCTTGAACACAACAGCTACTTAATGATAGCTACTTAACAAGTAATAAGCTTTAATTATGCTGTTAAGCTGGGGTGACACTTTCTACTACCTTTTTCATGAGTGATTTGACTTACTAAAAATGTGGACTGCTTTTTTGGAACAGAGAGGTTTTATTCTTGCATCTGTTAAAGTTCTGTTTATGTAAAATTAACCATTTCCCACTCTGTTTTCATTGTGAATTATTTTAAATATGTAGAGACCTGTGGAGAGTAAGATAGTGAATACGTGTGTATGCATTCCCTCCCGGCTTTCAAAAATAATATTTTGCCAGATTTGTCTCCGATTCTTAAAAAAAATTAAAATTAGAGACACAGATAAACCCTCCCATTCTGTTTCCTGCAGTAACTACTGTCCCTATTTGGTATGTAGTGTACCCAATAGCTTTTATACTTTATCTATATTTCACTACTTAGCTTTGTGTGTGTGTGTGTGTGTATATATATATATATATATATTTTTTTTTTTTTTTAGATATATTTTATTGATTTTTTACAGAGAGGAAGGTAGAGGGACAGAGCTAGAAATATCGATGAGAGAGAAACATCGATCAGGTGCCTCCTGCACACTCCCCACTGGGGATGTGCCCGCAACCAAGGTACATGCCCCTGACCGGAATCGAACCTGGGACCCTTGAGTCCGCAGGCCGACGCTCTATCCACTAAGCCAAACGGGTCAGGGCAATGTATATATATTTTTTCAAACTATCATTTTGCAAAATGTGTTTCCAGTTAATCCTATATAATAAAAGCCTAATATGCTAAGTGTCCAGTTGGCTGTCAATCTAAGCATAATATGCTAATGAAATGCTAAGGCCACTCAACCACTCGCTATGACAGCACTGACCACTAGGGGTCAGACACTCTGACCGGTAGGTTAGTTTGCTGCTGGGGTAATTGGGACTCAGTGAGATAGACTGAACATACCCTGGAGCCCTACCGCAGTCCCTCCCTGGCTGGCCAACCTCCACATCCCTCCCTGGCCCTGATCGTGCACCAGTGGGGTCCCTCTTCCTGGCCTGCACCCTCTCGCAGTCTGCAGTACGGGACCCCTCCGGGCATGTCAGAGAGTTGGTTTTGGCCCAATCCCGCAGGCCAGGCCGAGGGACCCCACTGGTGCATGAATTCGTGCACCGGGCCTCTAGTATTATATATAAATATTTATTTTTAGTTTATCTTGTTCATACATATAGCTGTAGCTTATTTTAATTGCTGTAGGATAGTCTGTTATATAAAAACAAACTTTATATGCTCTGTTGTAGATTTTAAAGTATTAGTTGGTACATATTAAAAACTGCTGCAATGAACATTCTTGTGCCTTTCTCCTTTTCCACATTTCCAATGGGTTTTCTAATGTGTTACTGTAAGTGGAATTGCTTGGAAGAGTGTTTATCTTCAAGTACTATTGCCAAGTTGTTCCCCAAAGTGGTTATATATTAGTTTTTCCTTTCACTAGCAAGGTATTCTGTTTTTCTACAATCTTTCCAGCACTTGATACTGTGGGGCTGTAAAAAATAACTTCTGACCTTTTTAAGTTCTAGCTGGGCTAATGAACCAATTAACAGAGACATTAATAGCAGAAAATGTACAAAATTTATTACAGATATGCATGTGGGTGTGCCATAAGAATATGACACACAAAGAAACATTGGGCAGTTTATATGCCATTTTAGACTAAGGAAAAGTGGGGGGGGGGGGCGTTTGGGACTTTAAAGGGCAGGAAAGCAATTCACATGGAGATGGAAAAGCAGATGTTTGGTAAATAAATGTTTACTGGGCCATCTTTAACAATAGGATACTGAGAGGACTTTGAATAAATGGGTCTTGCTAGGTTCCTTCGTGGCTGTCACACACAGTAGTTTATATTAAACTCCAAGTATCTATGATGATATCTCCCTTCCTGGGGCAGATGCTCTATCAAAATTCTTTTTAGCCAATTAGGGGAAGGTCAGTGTTTCTTTCTGTCTTTAGTCCTTAATTACCAGCTTAAAATCAATATCCCAATAGGCTTATTTTGGGGTAGCAAATTTAGTCCCTCTCAATGTTATTTTTTTTAGTGCTATATTTGCCAGTCTAATGGATGTGAAATGCTATTTCACCTTTATATTTCTCTGATTAGTCATAAGATTGAGCATTTTTTTGAAAGCTTATTCACCATTTGAGTTTTTTCTGTTGATTTTCTTTTTGCCCACTTTTCTTTTGGCTTTATCTTTGTTTATTAATTTGTAGTAGTAATTTATTGTTCATACTAATTCTGTTTTCTTTGTTTTTAATATCTTTCAGTCTATGGCTTATCTTCTTTATATTCATGTTCATTTATGTTTTACAG